TGCCTCAGCCTCCTGAGTAGCTGGGATTACAGGCACGCGCCACCATGCCCAGCTAATTTTTTGTATTTTTAGTAGAGACGGGGTTTCACCATTTTGACCAGGATGGTCTCAATCTCTTGACCTCGTGATCCACCCGCCTCGGCCTCCCAGAGTGCTGGGATTATAGGCGTGAGCCACTGCGCCCGGCTTGTTTTGTTTTTCGAGATGAAGTCTTGCTCTGTTGCCCAGGCTGGAGTACAGTGGTGCAATCTCAGCTTACTGCAACCTCTGCCTTCCAGGATCCTCCCGCCTCAGCCTCCGGAGAAGCTGGGATTGCAGGCATCCGCCACTATGTGTGGCTAATTTTTGTATTTTTAGTAGAAGCGAGGTTTTTCCATTTTGGCCAGGCTGGTCTTGAACTCGTGACCTCAGGTGATCCACCTGCCTCAGCCTCCCAGTGTGCTGGGATTACAGATGTGAACCACTGCACCTGGCCTCAAGCCATAGTTCTTAAAACGTGTCAAATTCTTTGACGTCTCCATGTTTTGAATGCGTAGTCCAGAAGATCCTTGTCCACCTGATGATTACTTCACTGAGGCTTTGCTGCTTTGTAATCTTCATAACATCTCTGCTTCCACAAAGTTCAGTATTTCCTTCTCTGTTCACATAGCCTTTTGTAGACATATGCTTGTCCTGTGATATATGTACTTCTCTATCCTTTCTGTTTTAGAGTGAGCTTGGGATCCAAGACTTTTGTCCTCTTTGCCTGACACATGGCAGGTTCTTCATAAATACTGAATGAATAGGTCTGGTAGAGATTGTTGGATTGTTTAGAGGGGAGTTAATATTTGTTACTTTTCACTTTTTATGTTAATATTTAATATTTCATTCTAAAGATGGTGGAACCAGGGCAAGATTTACTGCTTGCTGCTTTGAGTGAGAGTGGAATTAGTCCGAATGACCTCTTTGATATTGATGGTGGAGATGCAGGGCTCGCAACTCCAACACCAACCCCTTCAGTTCAGCAGGTAAGTTTTCCAAAGCCTCTCTTTCTTAATTTGTGATTTCCACTGACAGTATTTTTTAAGATAGAGAGTCTCACTCTGTTGCCCAGGCTGGAGTGCAGTGGCACAATCATGGTTCCCTGAAGCCTTGACCTCTGAGGCTCAACCAGTCTTCCTGCCTCAGCTCCCCAAGTAGCTGAAACTAAAGGCACGTACCACCATGCCCAGCTAAGTTTTGTAGTTTTTGTAGAGATGGGGTTTTGTCATGTTGCCCAGGCTGGTCTTGAACTCTTGAGCTCAAGCGATTGCTTGCCTCAGCCTCCCAAAGTGTTGGGATTATAGGTATGAGCCTAACTTGGCACAATTTTAAATGTACATGTGAAGCCTTAATTTTAAATATATGTGTGAATGTTATTTTTTTTTTTATTTTTTTTTTTTCTTGCTACGTGAATGTTATTTTTACGTTGAGTATTCGTTTTGACTTATGGGGCAGAAAATAATAAAACCAAGACATTATTTTCTGCTTTGTTATTACTATATATGTACAGATAGTGTAAGAGATGTTTAGTGTTCTTGTGGGAGTATCTTTAATTTCCTTAATAGTTGTCTAATTATTTAGGGATATTCTTCCGTGATTTCGCTGTATACATTCTCTGAAAGCAAAAATGTAAGATTCTAGCTGGGCACAGTGTCTCCTGCCCGTAATCCCAGCATGTTAGGGAGGCTGAGGCTGAAGGATTACTTGAGCCCAGGAGTTAGAGACCAGCCTGGGCAATGTAGCGAGCCCTTGTCTCTACACAAAGTTAAATTAGCTGGCCATGGTTGTGTGTACCTGATGTCCCAGCTACCCAGGAGGCTGAGGTGGGAGCATTGCTTGAGCCCAGGAGTTGGAGGCTGTTGTGAGTTATCGTGCCACTGCACTCCAGCCTGGGTGACAGAGCAAGACCTTGTTTCTGAAAAATAATAGACTGGGCCGGGCGCGGTGGCTCAAGCCTGTAATCCCAGCACTTTGGGAGGCTGAGGCGGGTGGATCACAAGGTCAAGAGATCGAGACCATCCTGGTTAGCATGGTGAAACCCCGTCTCTACTAAAAATACAAAAAACTAGCTGAGCATGGTGGCACGTGCCTGTAGTACCAGGTACTCAGGAGGCTTGAACCCAAGAGGCAGAGGTTG